AGGACACAGGGCTGCTGCAGAGCTGAGGCTCAGAAGCCATAAGAGGAACCTAAAATTCTGCACCAAAAAGCAAGGGTGTGTCTAAGGAATGCTGGGGACACTCCCAAGGAGAGCACCAGCGTACCAGGGCACTCCCATGCCAACTGGGACCATTCCAACACCCAAATAAATAATGCTAATAACAATTCATTGTATAAATAAGAATTCAAAGCCCATGTTGCTGTAATAAATGAACAAATAAATAAGTGAGGGCAGAGAGAAAGCTACTCCTGCAGAAACATGACAGCTAACAAACACAAAGGCAGCGCTGGCCCTAGAAATGTCAATGCTGTTAACACGCTGCAAATCCACAAGAAATGGGATCGTTAATCTCAAAGCTCTTCCCATGAATTACTTATCAAGTACAAAGGGTAAGACTATAGTTTACAATAGAGAGACTTGGCCGACACCACCTGACTCAATGATCAAAGTGCCAACACCGGACAAACCACCGGTAGGACTCAGTGAGGAGGACACAATATCCTTCTGTATATCCCTACTAAAAACACTCGCCTGACACCCATCATGAGGAAACGGGAGACAAAGCAAATTAAAGGGCATTCGACAAAATATTTAGCTAAGTCTCCTCTTTAACCCTTTTCGGTCCAACGTGGAGGCTGACTCGACAGACCAGGCGCTAGGAGCAGGTCCAACGTCGAGCTGAAGTCTAGTGAGACAGATAACTTCAACATTCAATCCCGTCAATTAATTTGGACCAGACTGTTTGAATTCCAAAAATAAAATTGGACCGCAAAGGGTTAAAAATGTCTGAAGAGCCCAGCCGGTGTAGCTCCGTGATTGAGAGTTGACCTGTGAACCAGGAGGCCAAGGTTTGATTCCTAGTCAGGGCACATGCCAGGGTTGCGGGCTCAATCCCCAGTAGGGGGCGTGCAGGAGGCTGCAGGTACTCATCCTTCACATCAACCTTAGCAATTTCATTTATAGACTAGAGCAGTGATGGCGAACCTATGACACGCATGTCAGAGGTGACACGCGAACTCATTTTTTTGGTTGATTTTTCTTTGTTAAATGGCATTTAAATATATAAAATCAGTATCAAAAATATAAGTCTTTGTTTTACTATGGTTGCAAATATCAAAAAATTTCTATATGGGACACGGCACCAGAGTTAAGTTAGGGTTTTTCAAAATGCTGACACGCCGAGCTCAAAAGGTTCGCCATCACTGGGCTAGAGACTGAGGTTCAGAAAAATGAAATAGCTGTTCAGAGTCCCAAGGGCAATGAATTATAGACAACCATCCGAACCTGGGCCAGAGTCAGGTACGAATGCACTCTCTCAGTCCTGGGGAGGGAGCGCTTCAACCTCAATCTCCGTGAACAGGAATTTCCAAATGGCCACACAATCAGGATTCAAGAGAGAGCCCATGAAGAAAGTGAAGGAGGACTGAGAGCGGTAAACCCAGACAAGCATGGTCGCCAGGACTGTGGAAACCAACAGCAAGAAAGAAGCCACCCTGAGCTCTTTGTGAAAGGCTTCCTGTGCCCGCCATGCACTCGTTACAGCCACGAAGAACCATCATGAACTAACGTCACTTCAAAGATAAGCAACGAAGAGCAGACTAAACACCCCCCTTAAGTCGCAGGCTCTTTCACTTTTCAAAAAACCCAATTTAATAAAATCTAAAGGTAAGTTATTTGATTGTAAGTAACGCGATATGGAAACTGACGGAAGAGAACTCTGTGCCGAAGCACCATCACCTCACAAGTCCAGCACAGAGAGCCACCTGGGGAGGCTGGAAAGCAGCTGCAGTCTGTGCTGGCCTGAGTGGGGGTGCCTCTCCCTCACCGCCCCAGGGCCACTCCCTGACTGCACTTTCAGGAACAGTGCTGCAGACTGGCTCCTGTCCTGTCCAGAGTCAACTACTTGGGCCAGGAGACCACTAATGCAAAGAGTAATGTAATTAACTACATCGATGCCAGCCTAGGTCAGAGAAGAATGAAGGCAGTGGTTCTCAACCTTCTGGCCCTTTAAGTACAGTTCCTCATGTTGTGACCCAACCATAAAATTATTTTCATTGCTACTTCATAACTGTAATGTTGCTAAACTTATGAATCGTAATATAAACATCTGATATGCAGGATGGTCTTAGGCGACCCCTGTGAAAGGGTCTTTCGACCGCCAAAGGGGTTGTGACCCACAGGTTGAGAACCGCTGAATTAAGGAAATAAAACGGACTCCCAAGTAAACCTCTCTAGGAAACCTTATAAATATGATACTTACTGTACTTCTGTACTAACAGGATGTAAAAAAGCTCATTGTGAATGTACAAGAACACGGAAATTAATTATATGAACTAATACTTACCAATTATTTAGTTAGTTATGAACCTGAAATGCATAAATAATACCCTGCACAGGTACAGTACATAAGCTGATCCTCCCAAATGCTAAGACCCTGTCAGAGCCTCACTGGAGTTGCCAGTTCAGACCTGGGCTCACGGCCTAGCCCAGGGCATTAACGCCACAGCTGACAGAAGAGAAGGACCAGCAGGGACAGAAATTAAAGTCAGAAGAAATGTGCACACACAACACTTAACAGAACTGTTTCTTTTTGTATTGCTGAAATAAACACAATTAAGAATATGCTCTCTTAAAAATAGCTCCTACCACACACACTGCACACACACAACCCTCGCCATTAGAAAATACTATTCCAGTTCAGAGAGACACAAACAAGGCATTTATCCTCGGAGAGTTGAAAGTAGCCAACGTGCTACTGGAGAAACTATTGGGAAAAATCCTCGTGGAGATTGCAAACAGGTTGGTTAGTTAACTTACTACTTAGCACATTGCGTACCGCATAGAAATCTCTAAGACATACGCCAGGGACCGCACGTTTTGGGGCAAACTGCACGTTATTTAAATCATCATAATGCACTTTAGGTGTTGTTTTTCAATAATTATAACATTTTTATTTACAAAAACAATTAAAAATTAAAGTTCCTAGTACTTTGTTAACGTATGGTACTGCATAAAACATTTTCCTCTATGAAGAGGGACCAAACAAAATTTACGTAAGTATCTAGATTCGCTCCTTTTTCCATGGGCGTGAAAAACGAGAACACTCGTGAGCGGTCCTTAACAGATGGCGCGCGAAACACGAGAAAACTCCTGGGGGGTACGAAATGTGTTAAGAATTAAAAAGAACTAAAAAGCTACTCCAATGTTTGGCAGATAGTTATTTTCATGTAAAATTCCTCTGTTGTTTTTCTGTGTATTGTAAAATTATATAGCACAGTTTTAGAACAGCGGTTCTCAACCTGTGGGTCGCGATCCCTTTGGCAGTAGAACGACCCTTTCACTGGGGTCACCTAAGACCATCCTGCATATTAGATATTTACATTACGGTTCATAACAGTAGCAACATTACAGTTATGAAGTAGCAACGAAAATAATTTTATGGTTGGGTCACAACATGAGGAACTCTATTTAAAGGGCCAGAGAGTTGAGGACCACTGTTTTAGACTATAGCATGATATGAAAAATATTTTTTTACACTGTAGAAAAGAGAGCAAAAATTTAACTAGCTCAATTCTTTGAAAGGAAAGGTGTTGATTCATTTGCAAGCTGCTCTTTGACACGGAGCTAGCTGAGCCCCCAGCTCAGCTGCCAGCCCACCAGGACCCGAATGCACTTGGCTTCCCTTCTTACAGCCACAGCCTGACCATGGAGGCCACTGGAAAGCTCTATTCCCGACCTTGGCCCATGACGCCTGTTTATAACTCAAGGGGAAAATGAGACACTGACCAAGTGTGCTTAAGACAAAGACAAAAGCAAAGGGCCACAGACACTGGAAACTGATTAACTTTTGAGTTCTCATCTAAAAATAACAAAGGCATATAATAGTAAAATAATTTGATGGAATATAGGCCATCTGCTCATCATTTTGAATCACCATGAATGGAGGTGAGAAAAACAGATTCAAGTAAAACAAAATGATGGGTCCTATTAATATGGAATTTCTAATTCATATTATTCTATCAAAAGTCTTAGTCTACAAGCCCAGAAATAAAAGCAATTAACACTGCACTGAGTAAATAGCTCACAAGATGTTCCCAAATGGGCACAGCACAGGACATAACGCCACAGGTGCCCCTTCACGGTCCTCTATGCACTGTCCTCCCCGTAGGGCCAGCAGGGTACAGGCTGTGGTCTGTTAAGGCATCACCACTGGCCGGCTTCCCCTTTCTTCCTCAGTTTATAGACAAACCACACACACCAGTACTGTGACAGGACAACAATTGTACGGACTACCCAGAATGTGCTGCGGAATCCTGTCAGTACAGGAAGGCTAAGCCCCCCTCTATAAAAAAGCAGGTATCTACACATGGCTTCTTGAAAGGACAACCTGTGCCATGGACATCTGTCTGCCTCTGTTCAAGAACTAAATTGTCCAACCCGGGCTGGAAAAGAGCAATGACTGCCTTAGCCTCAGGGAGAGTGATCACAGGGAGACAGACAAAAGCGTGCTTGCCTCTGACCTGCAACCCAGGTACTTGCCCTTGACTGTGAATGGAGCCCGTGACCCTCAGGTGTGCAGGCCGCAGCTCCAATCCCTGAGCAACACCGGCCAGGGCCACCGTGGTTGCACTTTAGAACTCTGCTCATCCTGTTGCCCCTGAATCTAAAGCTACACACGAGTCACTTGCTTTGTGGTAAAGGAAATTTTGTGTTTAATTCTGTGTTCATAATTCTACCACAAATTATCCTCAAAAAGAATCTAAAACTGAGAAAGGTCTAAGGGAAGGACAGAGACAACTGAACACCATGGTCAGCACGGACACTGCAGCTCTCACACCAGCTTCCCGAAAGAAGGGCTGGTCCACGTGACTGTACAGAAGCAACCTCCCTCCCTCTGCTCACACACCTGCTCTGGGAATGAGGGCATTCTAAGTGAAGGATGCAGAGATTCAAGAGGCACAGTGACCTCGTCAACTTACCCCACCTGACAACTTAATCACCCTGACTTTGGAGCTGACATGCGGCCCATCTCCGCCACCGCTGTTTGCCCGGTGCATGACAGTCCTTTTGGCGCCAGGCTTGGAGTCAGGGGGCCGGCCCTGGAGGGCTGTCACTCGGGCGGTCTGTGCTGGGGGCGGCTCGTCCCCATCCTCGGGCTGTGTCTGCAAGACTCTGTGTCTCAAGTGCTTCAGTGGTTTGACCGGCTGTCCCGAATACTGCATGTTAGCACCAGGTGGCACAAAGTTTGACGTCTTCGGCTGAAGACTTGAAAGAGCAACATCTTGGTTTTTCACGAGGAGTCTGTTTTTCACATTCTGTCGGCCCTGGGCACCAGGGAAGGGTAGCAAGGGGTTTCCATTGGTGGGCAACGGCAACGCCGGTGGCTCTTCCCGCTCCGCAGGGGCCCCAGTGCTGCAGAGTTGCTGCTGCTGCTGCTGCTGCTGCTGCTGCGCCAGCCTCTCCAGTAGCTCCTTCTTCCTGGCTCCAGCCTGCTGCTGCCGGCGCATCTCCTTCTGCTTCAGGATCTCCTCCCGCAGGCGCTTCTGCTCTTCTATCTTTAAGCGGTACAGCCTCGTTTCTTCATCTTCATCGGGAAACTGGAACAGAGAACACACACGGCTTACTTGGCAGCACCAGACAAGGCGACCATTCCAGTGTATTTCTACAAACTTAGAAAATGCAAAAGTATAAAACCCTTTCATTCAAAATTTGAAAGACACTAAGTATCACGCCTTCCTCTGCAGAGGGGAAAATTATGCAATAGCTAACTTAGAAAATCTTATCAGAATATTAAAAATGAAAGAATGTACATTCCATTCATTTATAAGGCTGAAACCAATTAAACCATTCATTTAAGATATCAAAATATGTTTTGAATGGAAATAGCCACAATAGGGGCCGCACTGTCACACAGGTTTTATCTGGCTCTTCTCTGACGAGCCAACAAAAGGTGGGTGTAAATGACCTGAAAGGGCCTGATTAGAACTATTGATTTTTCGTACAGAATTTCAGCCTGATCTCAAACTCATTTGTCACAGAATAATTGGTGGTAATGAACAGCACAAGTCAATCTCTCTGACCTTGAACTCATGCACTCTCCTCAGAATCAAAATGCTGTCAACGGCAATATTGGAATATTAATGCTATCTAAGGAAAGCTCTAATATGCCAGCCCCAAACCATTATGAGAGTCTACCAAAAAAAATCTCAGGAAAGTCTGGTAACTTTCACCAAAACCATGCAATAAGGAAAGTTTATTAAAAGTTAGGCACTTAGCCCTAGCCTGTTTAGCTCAGTGGACAGAGCACTGACTCACGGACTGAAGGGTCCCGGGTTCGATTCCGGTCAAGGACACATACCTCAGTTGCAGACTCAATCCCCTCTCCAATTGGGGCGTGTCCAGGAGGCAACCAATCAAAGTGTCTCTCTCACATGGATGTTTTTCCTTCTTTCCCCCCTCTCTTCCCATCCACTCTCTCTAAAAATCAATGGAAAAATATCCCCAGGTGAGGATCAAAAAAAAAAGTTAGGCATTTGTTAAAAATGGCATTTATTTTCTTTAAAAGCATCACAGATACACTCCATCCACAGATCCTTCACAAAAGATTGTAATAGGAATTAATCTATCTAGAGGTCAGCTAGTAACAAACAAACCTTAAAAATTAGGAGTTAAAACCAAAATATAACTGCAGACCCTACTGGTGCCCCCAGAGCCCATGCACTTGACCTACAGGACAGAGTTGGGCCCTCATCAGGGTTTGCTTGTCATTTCAGAAGCAATTCTGACCAAGTCAGCTATCTAACTGAAAGTTTAGGGCAGATGTGAAACAGCAAATCTGAAGTCAGAGGCCACACAGGCAGGCATAACAAGTGAACAGCACTGAAAAAGTGAGGGCCAGGCCACTCATGGAGGAGCAGACAGCTGGGGAGTACTGACAGGTCCAGGGCTCACTGCCTCAAACGCAGTAACAGTCACTGAGATGTGTCCCTAAGCAACCAAGAAAGAGTTAAAGTACCAGTATGTTCAAGAACATAGCTGGGAATACTTCTAAATAGGTTTGTCCTTTATCGTATCATTATCGATTAAGTGAATGTAAGAAAATAAACTACAAAACAAATAGAAGACATTTTAAGATGTAAGAAATTTTACTTCTGGTCCATTCTGTGTGCACAGAAAGCTGAAAGCAAACAAACGAAGACACTGCGTACGCATGGTCACCTGCAAGTTCCTTTTCACGCACAAGCACCTGGTGGTTCGACAGAAACTGACACTGCGGAACCCACTGAATCGCCAGTAAAGAACAGACAGCCATGTGCAGCAATGCTATGCCTAAAGGCCACTTTTGTCCTTTTATTTAGATTCTGTTGTTATAAAAGTGCATGTAACTTAATTTTTCTGAACCAGTCTGTGATGAGTGAAGAGCTGGCTATGTAAATTAAAAGCAGGATAAAATTTTTAGCAAAGATTTTTTATAAACTGCCCCAATCCAGTCTGTAAATCTAATTTTTTCATATATTTGATTTTAAAACCAAGTCACCCTTCTTAAGAGCTTATTAAATGTCAACTCAATATTTTGACTTTATATTGACACGTCTGATTAGTAACACATTACAACTGCTTACAATTTATTAGCAGAAAATCTGACTTCCCTCCAAATTTAACTATTAGTGTTGACTGGTTTTTATATAATTAAGAAAACATGACTTGCTTACATTTTTATCAAAGAGCACTCTTCATGACATTCTTTTATATTAAGTTAACACATGACACTAATTTATAATATTCTACATAAATTTTATCAATACCATATCTCAGGCACATGCACTCAATGGCTAAAGAAATCGAGGCTGGTGAGAAGTGAAGTGTGAAGTGACTTGCTCAGGGACATGGTGTTGGCCCTGGTGGGTCATTCCAACGGCGTGCTTCTCACCTATGCTCCACTAGACACCTCGTCCTAGTTAGAACCCAGGACTTACAGACACTGCCCACGGCATGTATACGTACTTCTGGCAACAGCCTAGGATTAAATCTCGACTGCACGGAAGCATGAGACAAGCACAGCCATTTCTTTTCCAGGAGACCAGTGACAGACTTAACCAATACTTAACAAGAGCTAATTAAAAAGCTCAGGACCAAATCTGTACTAACACCACTACACAAAAAAATAATCAAGTGGCCACAACTCAATCAAGGTGCAAATAAGATCTCAATTGGAAACCATGTTACATACCGACTTGCATTTACTCTTTATTTTTACATTTATACCTACTGGAAATCAGCAATAATGGCACAGGTCGAAATAAACCACCCCCCAATCAAAAAAATCTACTTAAAGGTTAAAAAAGTGGTCCTATCTTCTAGCCGTGCACAGTGTAAAACGGTCCACACTGAACCAGCTAAGTAATTACACAGCTCACGGGCCAAATCTAGCCTAGCATTACTCTGTCATCAGGCTTTACTGGAACACAGCCACCTCTGATGATGCTAGAACTGTCTATGATCGCTTTTGTGCTAACAATGCAGAATTGAATATTATGAGAAACAGTTTGGACTATCAAGTCTGACATTTTTATTATCTCAACGCTTTAAGGACTTGTCAACCCCCAACATATACAGACTCTATAGCATACAATTTTAACTGTGCAAGTGCATAAATACCATCTAATATCAAAACCAGTGAGAATGAGGGTGTATGTTATATGAACATGACCGTGAGGTTAAAAGAAGGACCTAGTTGAGAAAAAGTGGTAAGATTTGGTGATAACTCGCCAGATCAGAGTGAACTCAGGGGTATAAATGGATTATAAGGCTTCCTGTTATTTTTTAATAGCAAAGAGTCCTACCTCTGGTTCTGTTTTTGCTTCTTCCTTAGGTTGACCCTCAGGGCTAATGGGCTTGGCCTTCAAGTCCGTCTTCCCCTGTGTGTTCCTAGGCCCAGGTCTCAAGGGCGGTGACATGCTGTCCATCGGCTTTCCATGAGCGCCAGGCGTGGATGCACCACGACTGTTACTCAGTTCCATGACGTGCGAGGGCGCTATTGGTAACTCACGCAAGTTACTGTTTCTGGCAGCAGTTGGCTGCAGCTGCTGCATTGGCCGTTTGGTTACATTCTGAGACGTCGTATTCTATCACAAGAAGACATAAATTCAAATTACAACAAGAAACTCGGGAGGACCACAGAAAGGCACACTAGATTATTAGATAAAAATAGTTAGAAATCATTCTAATTAGTGACTTCTCTTTCAGGGGCAGATACTTCTCCCATCCATACTTTTTCCAAAATGAATGTTCCCTGCTTAGTGCAGAAGCACACCCTGCTGGGAAGGACTGGGACCCCTAAGGGGGTCACACTGCTAACAGACAGACAGGCTCTGAACTGTGGACTCACAGCAGGGCACTGCAGGTGGGGCTTGAGTCTGGGGACAGAGGCAACAAAAGACTCCAGCTGCACAAGGAGTTGGCAGCACCATTTTTACTGGGTCCCCTAAGTTTACAGTGGACCAAGCAAAGATTCAAGCATTAAGTCAGTGCCCTCCCTGGAGGAGAAAGATACCTGTGAGTTTTCTCCAAGAGGAAACACTTGGTTTGTCCATCCTTGGGATTCTTAACAGAATCCCAACACCTGGGGGCGGCGGGGGGGGGGGGGGGGGTACAGACGTGAGATGGCTGAGGGGACTCAGTTCTCAGATCGCTCGCTGGCATCAATATGTAAGGACACAAGGCCAGGCAGGTGGTTTGCCACTGCTCTAACAAAGTAAAACCCTAGTTACGAACCACCATCTTCCCAGATCAGGAAGCCCTTTCTTATTTCTAATACCATTTTAGTCTCATTGTTACTTTAAGAAACAGGTATGAGAAATTTTGAGACTAAAAGTAGCTAAATGACATGCTTGAAGCTTGAGGTACCAAGTGATAGTATAAAAGGAAAAGCCAACTGTCACCTTAGAGCCTAGAACTCTAACCTAATTAGATTCTTTATAAAAAGGTGTTATTTAATATAAAACAGGCGATAACAGTGACTACTGTTTTTTATTTTTAAAGCAGTATACTCCCTAGTTTCTTTCCATGCATGACCAACCACACATTTGCTGATGGTCCCCGAGAGTATATCCTCACAAATAAAAGCACAATTAAATACAGGCTCCACGAAGGCAGGAAACCTGCCTATTGCTCACTGCTGTGTTGTCATGAACGAGAGGAGTGCCTACCAAGAGGACAATCAATACAAGAGGACAATCAATACATCCTTCCTGAATTCACTCACTTATTTACTCAGAGCCCAAGGAGATCATCTGTGCGTCAAAAAGTAAGCCACTGGCAAAGGGTGACTGTCACCCGAAACTATGTTCTGAAGTGATGTGTCTGTGAATTACTAATATCATCGCTACAGCCCCAACCGGTTTGGCTCAGTGGATAGAGCGTCGGCCTGGGGACTGAAGGGTCCCAGGTTCGATTCCGGTCAAGGGCATGTACCTTGGTTGCGGGCACATCCCCAGTAGGAGGAGTGCAGGAGGCAGCTTATCCATGTTTCTCTCTTATCGATGTTTCTAACTCTCTATCCCTCTCCCTTCCTCTCTGTAAAAAATCAATAAAATATATATTTTTCAAAATATCATCGCTACAGGAACATGCAGATACACAAGATTAAGAAACTGAAGTAAACAACATGAGGAGTCTTTCAGGCACAAGAGAGACACTATTCATTTCTGTAGTCAAGAAGACCAGTTTCCTAAGCGGTTTTTAAACATGCGTTCACTGCGGGAAAACGCATGATGTGCTTCGTTAATTCAATCAGAACTAGAAACTACTCTGGCTCAGGAATTCTGCCCCTGATGTTGTGACTTGAAAGGCATCGCTGGCAAAAGGCAGAAGACAGGCGGACACTCACATGCCTCAGCCCCTGGCGCTGGGGGCACTGCATCCGACTGCTGTTCTGCTGAGGCTGAGCCGTCTGCATGTGAGGCCTGAACTGGGGCTGCGACATGGGCATCAGAGGTGGCGGGGGAACAGACAGGTGGTGGTGGTGCTGGTGCTGCTGCGGCTGGTGAGGAGGCTGGTGCTGCGGCTGGGGGGGCGGCGGGTGCTGCGGAGGTGGCTGCAGCGGGGGCTGCTGCTGAGGCTGCGGTGGAGGCTGGTGGGGAGGGGGCAACGGGGGGTGCAGGGGCCCCTGCCATGCCAAAAGAAAGAGAAACAACAGTTTATAATGCATATACTAGCTATGTTCCAATTCAGCTCTTCTCTTAGAAACCCCAACACCAAAAAGAAACTTGAAACGGTACAAATTTCATTTCAGATTTGTTGATGGAGGTGATGTTATATTTACTCTAAGTCCTTTTAATCTCAAAATTCCAAGGATTTGTCCTAAGGAGATTGCTAAGGATACAAACATAACCTCTAGGATCTTCCCCGCAGCACTGCCTCTAAGAACGTGTGCACCCCAGCGACGCCGTCAGTGCAGCCTCTGAGCGGGTCTGGTGTGCAGTGACAGTAACTCCCCGCTGTGAGAGGAACCAGACCACAGCCTCCCTGCAGAAAGCATGCCAAAGACGGTGCTCTGAAGCGCCTGAGAAGCATGAGCACCCAGTGTCAGTGGCGACTGTTTCAGATGTCGGGCTTACTTTCCTCTTTAAATACTTATCTCTACTCGAATACTTCTACAGTGAAGATGTAGTCACTGTATTTTTTTTTAATAAAAAGAAAAACAGGGAGGTAGAAGAGGGTAAAGGTATAAATGGCAATAGAAGGAGACTTGACTTGGGGTGGTAAACATGCACATACAAAAAAGAAAAACAAAAAGACATTCTATCCTACTCTAACACCCTAAATAATCACCATTTTCCTCTTTTCAGTATAAACGCATACCCTCTGTGCTCCTAAGCTGCTTCCGGCACGCCACCATCATGTATTTAATCCTTTGCTTCAAGCACAAACAGAAAAGTGCTGGGAAGGAGGAGCTCACACATCCAGGCCGCCCATGAGAGAGCTCACCAGCAGAGGGCACTCAAACTCATCCAACAAGGAGGAAGGAACATCGACACTTCCCCCAGGGGAAGCTTCCACTGCGTACTGCAGTCAGATCAGCTGGCAAACAACTTTATTTCCCCTGTAAACCTTATACGACTTCCAGTGATGAGCAAAGATATTGTCAAAATACATCCTACTTATATTAGCAGTACAGCCATTAATAAAACTTTAAAATCTTAATACTGAATGTTTTCACTTCCCCAAAATTCACAATCACCTTTTCCATTTCCCCTATGACTAAGGAGATAACCAATACTGTCAAGAGATGATCTGTTGTAAACAGTTAATCGCCTTCTTCTTTAAATAACCTCCCGATCTTAGGGAGACTAGAATAAAAATATGAAACTTTGTCTTCAAACACCAGACCCAGACCTGCAGCACCCTCCTCCTCCTCCACAGGCCACCTGCCCCACAGCCCACCCGCCCAGAGTACCTGCAGGTTAGGCTGTGCGTGTGCGGGCAGAAATGGCTGTCCGGGGCCCGGCAGGAAGGGCTGTCGAGGAGGAATGAAAGGCCGAGTGGCGGCGGACCCCGGCTGGCTGAAGTGCAGCAGGCCCACGGGACCTGGAGGCTGCAGGGTGGGCCTCACAGGCCTCTCTCTAGGGAACACGGGCTGCTGTCCTTGCTGATTAAAAGCTGGTCCGGGCTGAGTGAATGGTAAGGGACTGGGCGTGGGCACAGGGTGAGCGCTGCTGAGAAGAGTGGGAGGGGGTGGCGGTGGTGGGGGGCTTCGCTGCTCCAGAAAGAGATGACTCGGGAAACGAGGTTCACCTGAAACTGAAAGGCACCAGGATGTCACCCTCTGGCTATACAGAACGTGCACTCTGTAGAAAGCTGGTGCACACAGTCTTCCTACAGACAAAATTCCAAGTGGTGGCAGGGTGCGAATGCTTGAAAAGAATCCTAGATTTCCCCTTCTCCACTGCTTCACTAGTCATTTTCTGGAACTGATTTCCTTTTGTGTATGTGAAGTTCACATTTCAGACACCAGTCCTGTCCACTGTTAGCACTGGAAATGACAGGCAGACATGCTAGGGCACAAGAACTGGATGCTTAACAAAAGCTGCTCGTGGGAGCTAAATTCAGTTTAAAACAGAAGTGTGTCCAGGCCCATCACTGTCCCTTACCTCCTAAGAAGAAGGGGTCTCGCTCCTGGGGAGGGGGTGGTGCTCTCCACTGGTCCTGCAGAGGAAGCCGTGGGGGCTGGCTAAAATTGTTGGGAACCGGTCCAGGGGTGTGCTGTGCGAATTCTGGAGGGCCCTAAAGAACAACAGGGAAAGAAGATGACAGGCAGAAAAATACCCTGTACATGGAGCCAAGTTTTCCCCTGAAAACATCAATTAACTTATCTCCCTTAACCCCCACCTCCCCCCAGTTCATAACTACATGTTAACAAAGTAAATGATTCAGCCATATGAAATAGATTAATTCCTTGTTTTCATATGTCTATAGCACCAAAAGAACATTCTTTTTAAGCTTACTGAAATCCGGGTAATTATTGACCTTCTTGTCTTTTCATCCGAAAGACACAATGCCTCATTTGGATGTTCCTGATATTTATCTTCTCAAACATGCTATTCTTTGCTACCTTTTTAACACAACCATAAGCTACAGATACGGAGCTGCTTTACTTCAAAAGAAGGCAAAATAACAGAATTTATACTACAACAAACATCAGCAATCTCTGACAAAACAGGAAAATGTGAATGTATAAGAAACCACACTACTACAAAAGAAATATTACACAGTTGGATTCCACTGGATAAAAATTTCTAAACTCTTAAAGATTAACATTGTTTAGCAGCTAAATGTTTGCTAGTAAAACTCTACAGGTAAACTAAAATTACTTTATTTTCAGCTGGTCTTTCGAAAAGTCAAAGATTTTTAAAAACAAACATTTGCTTAATAATGCCTCACATTTTTGGATGCATAGAAAGAAGGCCTCACCCTGAGGTGGGGGACAGAGGCAGACTGGAGGGAGTCAATGGGGGAAAAAGAGGTCATATGTAATACTTTCAACAATAAAGATTTTAAAAGAAAGAAAGGCCTCACAATTTCCTCTCCTCTAGAAAGAATTCATTAATTCTACACATCACCAAAATAATTTCTATTTAATAACACCTCATTCCTTGAAACTCAGCCATTATTTCTCAATTTTTAAAAAGTAATTTTTGTTGATTTCAGAGAGGAAGAGAGAAAGAGATAGAAACATCAATGATTAGAGAGAATCATTGATCAGCTGCCTCCTGCACGCTCCACCCTAGGGATTGAGCTTGCAACCTGGGCATGTGCCCTGACCTGGAATCGAACGGTGACTTCCTGGTTCATAGGTCGACATTCAACCACTGAGCAATGCTGGCCGAACATTTCTCAACTTTTTAAAACCACACTCCCTTCTCATAAACTTCTAATGCGTTTTCTGTCACTTGATTACTAATACAATTAGCTGTTCCCTCTAAAAGTGACATATTTTAAAACATTGAAAAGCTTTTGCAAACTACATTTGCCTTCCTTCTCCCTTTAAGAATGTGCTCGACCCATGGCATTGCATGAATAATACAAAATGAACACAAGTATAAACACAAACCTGTAAGACCCATGACTATATGATGTTAAAAACATTATGTTTAAGCACAAATATTACATCTTTATAAAAACAAACTAATGGCCCGGTGCACGAAATTCCTGGACATTAAAAGGGAATTAGAGAAAATATTTTAATATTGCTATTTGCCCTTTCTCTATAATATAAGTGTCAGAGATGAAAGAAATTAGTAAAATGTATATGAAAATCTCCCTCCTGTCAGAGTCTGGGGCGCACCGCGGGACCCAGAGTAAAGTCCCCACCCACCCACCCACACCTCGAAATCACGGGAGACCCAGACCTGGCTGGCCCCACCCCCGTCAAGCCCTGCTGGGTAGGGGGTGCAGCCTCAGGTCCCCTGTCAAGCCCCACCGGGCAGGATGGCGCAGCCTCAGGTCCCCCGGCCCTGGCGCGAGGGCATGAGGGCGTGATGACCATTTGCATATTAGCTCTTTAATATATAGGACACTGGGTACTTATTAAAACATATGGAATAGGAAGCCCCCAAGATTCAATTCTTATAGTCTTTGTTACTTTAAGTGAAATCATGGGAATTCTCACCTTACCAATGTTTGACGTTAGGGATTGCCACTTCTCACCTCTAGACATTAAGGACATCAACTGAGACTACCAGAGCAATAAACGTTCAGTAACTGAGAAGTGTAAAATGTACAAGTGAGAACACACAACAGATGCAATCGTATTACAAGTAAATGTACACATTTTCTCACATTAATTTGAGACTTTATTGATATAATGCTTTGACATGGATATTCTTCAATATTTAATACTTTTACTATGGTAATACTACGCTAGAAAAAAATGCTGATAGCGTGACTGTTGCACACTGTTACTTATCAAATGCGCATGAGGACTTCCAATGAGCTTGCCTCCTTTCTGCCATGGCCCATACTTTCCTCTTGTTCTAAAAAGATTTTTATTTTGCCCTGGCTGGTATGCTCAGTGGTTAGAGCATCGGCCCACGCACCGAAGCATCTCGGGTCCAATTCCTGGTCAAGGGATTCCTGGGTTACAAGTTTGATTCCCGGTCCCAGGCAGGGCCCATTCAAGAGGCAACCGATTAACGTGTCTCTCACATCAATGTGTTCCTCTCTCTCTCTCTCTTTCTCTCTCTCTCTCTCTCTTTATCTATCTATCTTCCCTTCTCCCTCCTTTCCTCCTTTCTACTCTCTCTAAAAATTAATGGGAAAAATATCCTCAGGTGAAGATTTTTAAAAATTTTCTGATTTTCTGTTTGAAGACAACAAAATAGGGACTGTGCATTTATTTTCACATGTATTTCAACAGGTAACTAGACAGAATATGTGTTTTAAAGGATTTATTTATAAAATACAGCATTAGCATCCTATCTTCAGTTTCATATATCTTTTTTCTCACATATATATATTTCAAAACTTGGTTTAAAATCATCTTCCAAACTTTCTGGTAAGAAATTAGCAACCAAGGTCCTATTTTTTTTTTATTTTTTTTTTTTATGTTTAAACCATTTCTCTTGAAGTGGCACTGAAAATAAAGTTACAAATTGCCTGCCCTGTTTTGTGGCAATGTTTGATGGGTCACCCTGCCTCCATACATGCAATGTGGCGACCAACTGGCACCCGCTCAATAAAGGCCTCTGTCACCTAAGCAGCAGATTCAAACTGTTTCCATCTATACTTGACTGTGCCTCTTCTGGGGGAGGGGACACCAGGAAAAAGTTTCAAACAGGTAAGTACAGAAGGGACAGGATAAGATTCATTAAAATAATTTACAGTGAGAAATGCAAAGCCCACAGATCACAAGCATGCTCCTAAGACATGAGCGGGACAGCACCACAGCCTGAAACAAGCTACTAATGTAAAAGGTCAAAGAAATCACTGAGATTTAAATGTTCGAAATAAGAAAGTTATTTTTCATGAGGTTTTAACTTACAGGTTAGTAAAATATTAACACCTACATGAAGACAAAAGACAAAACATTTTCAACCTTTAAAGCATAATAAATAGCTCTCCCCAAATACTTTATTGTGGTCATTTATAAATAGACTAGAGGCCCGGTGCACAAAAATTTGTGCACTCGGGGGGAAGGGGGGGTCCCTCAGCCCGGCCTGTGCCCTCTCGCAGTCTGGGACCCCTCAGGAGATAACGACCTGCTGGCTTAGGCCCGCTCCCGGGTGGCAGAGGGCAGGCCCAATCCCTAGGTGCAGCCCCTGGTCGGGCTCAGAGCAGGGCTGATTGGGGAGTTGGGGAGCCGCCCCCTGTCATGCACAGAGCAGGGCGGATTGGGAGGTTGTGATGCCACCCTCAGTCAGGCTCAGGGTAGGGCCAATTGGGGGGTTGGGGCACCGCTCCCTGTCACACTCAAGGCAGGGTTGATGGGGAGGTTGAGGCGCCACCCCTTGTCACACACAGAGCAGGGCCAATCCGGGGGTTGCGGCGCCACCCCCGTCACGCACAGAGCAGGGCCCATCAGGGGGGCTGGGGAGGTCCCCCCGTCACGCACAGAGCAGGGTCGATCAGGGGGTTGGGGAGCTCCCCGCTGTCACGCACAGAGCAGGGCCCATCAGGGGGTTGAGGAGCTCCCACCCCCCCCCCCCCGCCGTCACTCACAGAGTAGGGCCGATAGGGGAGTTGGGGCACCGCCCCGTCACACAGAGAGCAGGGCGGATCAGGGGGTTTTGGCGCCGCCCTCTATCACCCACAGAGCAGGGCCGATCAGGGGGTTGGGGCGCCGCCACTGTCACACGCAGGGCAGGGCCGATGAGGAGGTTATGGCTCTACCCCATCAGACACAGAGCTTGGTGTGTCGTGAAGGGACAGTCAATTTACATATTTGTCTATTATTAGTATCTACACTAATAAAAGAGAAACATGGTAATTGGCGTACGACCGCTACCCTTTTCATTGGCTAATCAGCGAGATATGCAAATTAACTGTCAGCCAAGATGGCGGCCGGCAGCAAGGCAGCTTGAAACTAACATGAGGCTTGGTTGCCTCAGTGACGGAGGAAACCAACATTCCCCATCTGCGGCTGCAGTCCTCTGAGCCTGCAGTTTAGGAAACTCTTTAAGAAATACCACCGGGCTTCAGCCAGCAGGATGGCAACATTGTAAGCAAAGGCCAGAAACCTAAGAGCTGGAGCCAAGCCTCAAAGCTAAAGCTGGCCCAGAATAAAAAAAAAAAAAAAAGAAACAAAGGAGCAGTTGGGAGCTTCAGTCACCCCCAGCCTGAAAACATCCCTCAGCCCCGCACCCAGGCTGGCCAGGCACCCCAGTGGGGACCCCCACCCTGATCCAGGACACCCTTCAGGGCAAACCAGCCGGCCGAAACCAGTTTGGCTCAGTGGAAGGGCGTCGGCTTGTGGACTGAAGGGTCCCAGGTTCGATTCCGGTCAAGGGCATGTACCTGGGTTGCAGGCACATCCCCAATAGGAGATGTGCAGGAGGCAGCTCATCGATGTTTCTAACTCTCTATCTCTCTCCCTTCCTCTCTGTAAAAAATCAATAAAATATATATTAAAAAAAAAAAAAAAAACCAGCCGGCCCCCACCCATGCACCAGGCCTCTACCCTATATAGGAAAAGGGTAATATGCCTCCCAGCACCGGGATCAGCGGAGCCGCGAGGACTCCCGGCACTGGGATCAGCGTGACAGGGGGCAGTGTCCAAACCCCCTGAT